ATGCGGGCAGAACCTTCCTCTCGTCTGTGCATTCGATTGTGTATCCGTCGACCGCTCGGATCCGTGCCCCGCCCAGTCCCGCCTCCGCAACCCTGCCCGCTCTCCTCCCCAATAGCCGACGTCTCACAAAGCTGAGGAGCCGCGCAAGATCGCGCCAGGGAGCCCTAGACCCCGTCGTCCTGCGTCATTCTACGAGGCGGATCCATCAGTGAGAGTCCCCGGGCCCGAGGAATAACCTAGATGCCCGGCTCGAAAAAGAATTATCCTGGCGAAGGACCCAACCATATGCAATCGTGAAAACTGCAATTGTGAATATCTTCTCGGTGGGGCCCCCTACGGGGCCACGAAACGTACGAGGGGTGTGCCGAAATGGGTGTGCGGGACGCATGCGGGCACACCCACTAGGGCCTTCGGTGGAGCTCCCTATGCGGCCACGAAACGTGTGAGGGAGTTGACGAAATGGGTGTGGCTGACGCATGCGGGCGCGGGCACTGGGGCCTTCGGTGGAGCTCCCCATGGGACCACGAAACGTTTGAGGGGTGTGCCGAAATGGGTGTGGTTGACGCATGCGGGCGCGGGCACTGGGGCCTTCGGTGGAGCTCCCATGGAGCCACGAACGTGTGAGGGGTGTGCCGAAATGGGTGTGGGTGACGCATGCGGGCGCGGGCACTGGGGCCTTCGGTGGAGCTCCCTATGGGGCCACGAAACGTGTGAGGGGTGTGCCGAAATGGGTGTGGGTGACGCATGTGGGCGCGGGCACTGGGGCCTTCGGTGGAGCTCCCTATGGAGCCACGAAACGTGTGAGGGGTGTGCCGAAATGGGTGTGGCTGACGCATGCGGCGCGGGCACTGGGGCCTTCGGTGGAGCTCCCTATGGAGCCACGAAACGTGTGAGGGGTGTGCCGAAATGTGTGTGTTCGGGTTCCCTATGGGGCCACGCGTGTGAGGGCGTGCCGGCGCATGCGGGCGCGGCACTGGGCCTTCGGTGGAGCTCCTATGGGGCCACGAAACGTGTGAGGGTGTGCCGAAATGGGTGTGGGTGACGCATGCGGGCGCGGGCACTGGGGCCTTCGGTGGAGCTCCCTATGGAGCCACGAAACGTGTGAGGGGTGTGCCGAAATGGGTGTGGCTGACGCGTGCGGGCGCGGGCACTGGGGCCTTCGGTGGAGCTCCCTATGGGGCCACGAAACGTGTGAGGGGTGTGCCGAAATGGGTGTGGTGACGCATGCGGGCGCGGGCACTGGGCCTTCGGTGGAGCTCCCTAGGGCACGAAACGTGTGAGGGTGTGCCGAAATGGGTTGTGGGTTGACGCATGCGGGCGCGGGAGCTTCGGTGGAGCTCCCTTGGAGCCACGAAACGTGTGAGGGGTGTGCCGAAATGGGTGTGGGTGACGCATGCGGGCGCGGGCACTGGGGCCTTCTGGCATGGAGCTCGGTGGAGCTCCCTATGGAGCCACGAAACGTGTGAGGGGTGTGCCGAAATGGGTGTGGCTGACGCATGCGGGCGCGGGCACTGGGGCCTTCGGTGGAGCTCCCTATGGAGCCACGAAACGTGTGAGGGGTGTGCCGAAATGGGTGTGGGTGACGCATGCGGGCGCGGGCACTGGGGCCTTCGGTGGAGCTCCCTATGGAGCCACGAAACGTGTGAGGGGTGTGCCGAAATGGGTGTGGGTGACGCATGCGGGCGCGGGCACTGGGGCCTTCGGTGGAGCTCCCTATGGAGCCACGAAACGTGTGAGGGGTGTGCCGAAATGGGTGTGGGGGACGCATGCGGCCGCGGGCACTGGGGCCTTCGGTGGAGCTCCCTATGGAGCCACGAAACGTGTGAGGGGTGTGCCGAAATGGGTGTGGGGGACGCATGCGGCCGCGGGCACTGGGGCCTTCGGTGGAGCTCCCTATGGAGCCACGAAACGTGTGAGGGGTGTGCCGAAATGGGTGTGGGTGACGCATGCGGGCGCGGGCACTGGGGCCTTCGGTGGAGCTCCCTATGGAGCCACGAAGCGGTGTACTGGGTGGGTGAAGAGGAGAGGAGGAGAGGAGGGGAGGAGAGGAGGAGAGGAGAGGAGAGGAGAGGAGGCGGAGGAGGAGAGGAGGAGGAAGGAGACGCGGGGCACCGTCTCTTCAAAACGAGGACCCAACACCACAGGATGGTTGGGAAAAACAACGCCGTGGCCGGAGGGGGAGGAGGGGGAGGAGGAGGAGGAGGAGGAGGAGGAGGAGGAGGAGGAGGAGGAGGAGGAGGGTGGTGGTGGTGGGCACTGCATAAGGGAAACAGAATCCCGAGCAGAGCAACACGAACCACGACCACGACGACGCCGACGACGTCGACGACGGAGACGAGGCGCGCTTACGATCCGCACCGAAGCACGGATTTGGGAAAGGGCCCACCCTGCAGGTTCGGTTAAACAGCACATCGTTGAGCGGTGCTGCAGCCTCCCCTGAGCACAGGCCCCCCCAGAGCATCAGCCAGACAAGTCGGGTTTGCACCCTCATGCCTTGCTG